GGGGGGGGGAGGAGGGGATCAAGCTAAAGAATGAAATGATAAGGGACGCTACCTGTCAAAAAGGATGTCATTGGCAAGGTATATAATGTGTAACTGTCTCTCAACATCATCCAATGCAAAGACCCTATCTCTAAGAGCCTCTGCTAGGGCTGGTGCAAATGGAGATCTCTGCATGAACCAAAGTTTTGCACCTTTGATGGATTCTTTTGTACCATTCAGATTGTTAAGAACATTACTGAGCTCCATTGCAACATCCGATGGAAGTGGCCCAGAGAGCCCTTTGAACGATTTAGATGACTGATCATACTCAGGCCGACCAGGAAGCCCAAAAGACTGAGGATGTTGATGGTGGTGTTGTTGATCATAGAACTGTTGGAAAGGAGGTGGACCTAGCATTGAAGGCGAAGAACCAATTCCTGCAGGATTCATTGGAGAAGCATTTAGAGGAGACGGATTCATCATTGGATTTGGGGGATGGATCATGGGCATAGAAGATGATGGAAAAGGCTGGTTGAATGGGCCACCAGGGGGACGAGTTGATAACCACAGCTTATAACGGTAGTAACCATGGCCCTCCCCACCAAAGAGGAAACTATAGGAAGGATTGTCCCGCTGCTTTTCACATATCATAGCTTCAAAGTCAGGACCATTTTTCACCGCATACTCAACAAGCTTGTCAATTCGCTTGTGGAGCTCAGGATCAGAGGGGGGAGCAACCGGGGGAGGAGCAGAATCATAAAATGGAGATGGAACAAGCGGAGGAGGATAATGTGAAGGGAATGCCGGTGGCCCTTGGTGCTGCTGCTGAAGAAGAAGATGAGGTGGGGGAGGGGCATGAGGGTGTAATTGCGGAAGTGGCTGCTGTTGCTGCTGCAGGGCATGGTGATAAGGGAACTGTTGCATAGGGGGGTGTGCAGGACCAGGACCTGGGGGTATAAAAGGAGGACCATGCATTGATGAAGGAAACTGCTGATGCTGGGGATGAAATCCAAACTGCTGTTGTTGTTGCATATTAGCAGCTTGCCGCTGTTGCTGAGCATATGCCATAGCAGACGCAGCTGCATAATCATGACCCTGACGTTCCATATATAAGGCTAGAGTACACCTCAACAGCACTTCAGGAGTATGAGCTTAATGAAAATACCTACAACCAAATAAAATTTTAAAACTCCCACTTTTTGTTATCATATACAGGTAGTTACCATTGATCACATAACATAAATTCTACTTGACATATTAATAGCAGAACTCAATAATACAGCAACAGTAGGAATAAAATTAAACATTCATTTCTCAGAAAAAAATTTGGCCCGATTGATTTCCTCTTCTTAATACATCCAAACTAACAGAAAACGACAAAAAAAAAAAAGTCACACCAAGCATACAAATGGATGTTAAATTCATAATAAGATCCAGCAAATAGTTGAAATTGAACAATATGACTTCCTAAGGTCAAAATCCCAAATGATGAATAAGGAACATTATGAATGACAAAAGGTATAATAATAAACAAATCCAACAATGCTAGATAAAACAGAACCTCCCAGAATGCCTATTAACATAACATTTGTTAAACCAATCAAGCCTAAGCTACTTTATCAGACAGGCCACAAACAAACCAATACACTATCGGGAAAAAAAAATCCTCGAGTTTTAAATTCAGCTATTGCTGTGAGACCCAGATGAAGAACGAATGCAAAAGGATCACCACATATTCCACTCACATATAAAGCAATAATTCGGCCATGAAGTTGTAAACACAATGAGATCGAGCCAGCAATTTGAACCAGCAATTTGCATATTAGGGTTCTTAATTTGAACCAGCAATTTGAAATCAGCATATGTACCTGCAAGGTGCTGGTTATGAGGCAGAGTAGGGCAAAAGGGTTCCCAAGGGGTAGTGAAACCGCACCGTCGATCGGGCCCAACTGGATTATGCACCGGGGCTTGCTAACCTCGCTTATCTGGAAGCAGCTAAACCAAAAGCCTGTTACGCTTTTTATGCAGCAAATTAAAGTCCAATGCGAAATACCGGCTTATAAGTTATAAAACTGAAAATATTAAAGGGGTTCTATTTTTACTCTTTGCAATTCATCTTCATTTTTATCCTTTTTTTCTTCAAATATGCTTTTCTCAATAATCAATCTTCATTTAACAATACCTAAACTTTTGAAATTATTTTTTGAATAATTTTGTAATATTTTAAATGAATAAAATTGTTATAAAATTAATGACATTTCAATATTTTTTTTCAGAAATATATATTTCAAAAAAGACGAAAAAGAAATAAGGTTTTTCTTTGAAATTAAAGAAAACAAAATAAATTTTGGTAACTTTTAGATAGTTTTGTAGAAATTTAAAATGAGTAAAAAAGACAAAAACAAAAGAGAAGCTTCAGTAAAAAGTTTAAGATGTACTAATATAAAAAGTTTAAAAAAAATAGTTGAGTGAATCATTAGATTGGTTTGAATTAAAAATAATAATAATCAAGTCGATTATAATTAATTTGGTTTAGAATTGAAGTGTAAATATTTTAATAAATTCTACAGGTATTTCTCAAGAATCAATTAAATTGATGTGATGAATCACTATATTTTATATCCAATAAATATCTGTATATATTCATATTTATATAATAATAATTTTAATTATTTCCATATTTTATTAAAAATATTCAATATTTTATATTTACAAGAATTATGTACATTTTCTTTTATATTTAATATTTTATATAAAAAATACTATATATATTAATAGGAGAAAAAATTGCAAATTTTTCTCTTGCCAAAAAAAATACACTTGGGGGTAAAAGTGTCATTTTGGAAATCACTAGGTCATTTATAAATCTTGGGAATGGCAAAAATTCTTCCTCTGTTATCCTGAAAGTGTAAGCAGGCATCCCAAAACCCTAGCCTGCGTTCTTCACTCGTTTTCTACATCAGGTCCGAACTCACTCCATTGATTTCTATCCACCCTTGATCCTTGTTCTTTATTTATTAATTTTTATGCATTGTTCATGTTTCTCTGCTTCCTGTTTGCCGCCGTCGTTTGTAATTTCTTTAAAAATGGTTTTTTTAATTCTATTTTGGATATATGGTGAAGTGTATCGATATCTCTCATTGTGTTTACAACTTCATGGCCGAATTATTGCTTTATACGTGACGTGGAATATGTGATGGATGTGGTGATCCTTTTGCATTCGTTCTTGATCTGGGTCTCATAGCAATAGCTGAATTTAAAATTCGAGTTTTTTTTTCCCGATAGCGTATTGGGTTGTTTGTGGCCTGTCTGATAAAGTAGCTTAGGCCTGATTGGTTTAACAGATGTTATGTTGATAGGCATTCAGGGAGGTTCTGTTTTATCTAGCATTATTGGATTTGTTTATTATTATACCTTTTGTCATTCATAATGTTCCTTATAATTTGGAATTTTGACCTTAGGAAGTCATATTGTTCAATTTCAACTATTTCCTGGATCTTGGTATGAATTTAACATCCATTTGTATGCTTGGTGTGACTTTTTTTTGTCGTCTCCTGTTATTTTGGATGTCTTAAATTTTCGTGTGTTGTTAGGATGTATTCTATTGAAATTTGAAGTTGAAGTGCAATGTGATACATATGTTTTGGATTTAAAAGATGATAAATGTCTTTCCTGATTTCTCTGTTACACTGGCTGTGCAATATCTGTGATGTAAGAAACTTAAATTGTTTTACACTTTCATCTCATAACTGTTGCTTGTGCTTGAGCAGGATGGAGTCTCAGGTGAAGCATGCTATTGTCGTCAAAGTTATGGGGCGTACTGGATCCAGAGGACAGGTGACCCAGGTCAGAGTGAAGTTTTTAGATGATCAGAACCGACACATAATGAGGAATGTGAAAGGACCAGTGAGAGAGGGAGACATTCTCACCCTACTTGAGTCTGAAAGGGAAGCGAGAAGGTTGCGCTAGATGGTTTTTTGTTTTTTAGTTTGTCACAAGTTTAATCAAAACAGCGATTTTCTTCTTTATTCTGGTAGTTAGTGGATGCCAAAGGTTATAGCACCCCTATCTTGTTGTCTTGGTTCTATTTTCATTCGTATTATGACTTGAATTTTGGATGTTTTGAGTTTGAGCATCAAGATTGAAGTATGCGTTTCGATTAATATATGATTTGGCTTCTATATGGTGCTGTTCCTCTGCTACATCTCGGGTTTAAATGGGCGGTGACTGCTTATCTTTGCAAACTGAAAAACGTTGTTGTTGTGACTTTGTTATCTTGATTCGATTTATAGAGATATTTTAGATAAAAATTCATGATAATGTGCGGTCTGGAAGTTAGTTGATATTGGTATAATTAGGTTTACCATGAGTACAATAAGGTTATTAATGAGTCTTATTCCTAAGTCAAGAGAGAAATTAATTAAAATGAGATACAATATTCATAAAATTTATGATTTTTAACAAATTTTAGTTGATTATAAAAAAAAATGTTAAAAAGAGTACTTAAGAGCATGGTAGTTGAATCGAGATATAAATAATGTATCGGAAGACTTATTTTTTGAATCGTGAATCGAATCGTATCGTGAATCGTAAGATTCATGATCAATAAAAACATAGTGTATATATATATGCATACAAGACATATAAAAGCACTCTAAACACATTTTAATATAAAGAAACAGACAAAATGAAGTCATACATAAATATATAGTAATATATAAGCTTCAAAATACAAACAAAGATACAATTATACAAATAATAACAGTCTCAAAAGCTAAAAGAAATGACTGCATAGTTCAACAACAAAGCCTCCAAAAAAATCATTGTTGTTGCTAAATATATGCATATACTAGGGATTGTTTGCTACTCTAATCAGTAATATAGCCACCCAAAAAAAATATTAGTGTTGTTGCTGCATAAACTCAGCAACAAGTGGTGTTACTGCCACACGAATTTAGTCATACAGCCTCAAAAAATAAATACAAAATGCCCCTATCCAAGATCATCCATCATCCCCAACCTCAAGATTTACATCACTCAAGTCATCTTCATCTTCTAATATCAAAAGTTCTTCTTCTTCATTATTTTCAATTTCATCCTCATCTTCTATTATTGATTTTCCCTTACCAATCTTGGCATTCAAGTCTCTTGGACCTATGTAATCAAAAGAAAATAATAAGGTCTAGTTCTAATTCTAACTTCCAAGTTCTAAACTAACTTTTAAAATAAATAATTACCTCTCTTTCTTTTCTTCTTTGGAGCTCCCTCATCAACACCAAAGCACTCATGTACATCCATCCATGAGGCATCAATAGGCAAGCAAGGATTCTCCTTTTCGGTGATCTACTCATCATCGGATTTAATATCTGACAAACATATGGGATCGTAGATATCTCCATTCTCTTCTCTACTATTTTGCCTCATCTCAAGTTGAAGATTATATTTGACATATACAAGTGCATTTAATCTTTGTTGCTCCAATCGATTTCTTCTCTTAGTATGCACTTGGTCAAATGTACTCCAATTTTTTTCACATCCCGTGGCACTACATGTAAGACTCAAAATTCTTATGGCCACCTTTTGTAACTCTTTACCTCTTTTACCGTAACTCTCCCACCAAAGAGCTACAAAAAAAAGTGTATTTAGTTTACAAATGTAGTTATTACTAATTATTATGTATTATCTTTATGATATTTATAAAGTAAAAATTAAAGGGATACCCGGTTGTTTCTTATCTCTAGTAGCTATTGCCATGTCCATTCCAAAGATCTCCTTAGCTCCCTTAAACTTTTCAAGTTGTTGATCTATTATAACTCTTGTCCTTATATCCGGAACCATTCTTTGAAAGGTTTCATATAAACCAATTAAGACTTCACTATCCGGATTGAAGTTCTTGTCATAATGATACCTAACCAAATAAGAAATAACTTAGCTACTAGGCACAAAGAAAATAGTAGTTCTTAAAATGATAATTATTTTTAAATAATTTACCTAGGATTGAGATAATAGGCAGCTGCATGAAGAGGCCTATGAAGCTGCAGATTCCACCTAGTGTCAATAATCTTCCACACTTTTTTATACCTTGACTCTTGCATTTGAAAGTTTTGAGCAATTTTCTCTTTAGCCCTATCCATTGCTTCATAAATGTATGGTGAGGCTGGCTTTGAATCACCATCTACAAGCCTTAACACTTTCACAAGTGGAATCACGCACTTTAGACAATATGTAATTGATCTCCAAAATCTATCATCACTCAACACTAGGTTCATGACTTGCTTAGCCTCACTTTTACTAGCATGTGGACTAGTAGCCCATTCCTCCGATGCAAACATTGATCTAAGAGCATTCTTTTGTTGTTTAATGCAATTTAGTGTAAGATAAGAAGTTGCAAATCTTGTCACAGCTGGTCTTGCTAATTCCCCTCCATTGGAATATTGTCTATACAAATTAAGGACCCATGTATGCCTATATATGTAGGTAGTAATCTTCTTTGCATTAGCAATGGTATTATAGAATACCGGAAGCTCTCCAATGTCCTCAAGGATTAGATCAAGGCAATGGGCTGCACATGGGGACCAAAATAGTTTGGTTCTCTTCTCCATTAACATTTGTCCAGCAGCCACAAGATTAGAAGCCCCATCCGTCACAACTTGGACTACATGCTCCTCCCCAATTTCTTCAACAATGTTGTCTAACAATTCAAACATTTTTTTCCCATCCTTTATCACATCACTAGTATCAATAGATTTCAAAAAAACAGTCCCACTTGGACTGTTAACAAGAAAATTAGTGAGTGATCTTCCTTTTCCATCCGTCCAACCATCACACATCAAGGTGCATCCCCATTTCTCCCAATCACTTCTATATTTCTCTAAGCTTTTTTGGATGTTGTCAACAGCTTTCTTCAAAAAAGAAACCCTCACCTCATGATAAGTTGGTGGCTTCAAACCTCTCCCATATTCTCCAACAACCTTCAACATTTGAATAAAAAGAGGACTCCTTACCAAATTAAATGGTAATGCATTACCATAAATGCATTTACAAATTTCTTGAATCACAAATTCCCTATCTTTACAAACTTCATTCATTGTCTTTTGTTGGAAAATTTTAGATGTTCCCTCTTTTCCTTTTACTGTCCCATTCTCTACATCCAAGCAATCTTCTTTCTTTTATTTTTTAGTTTCCAAGAGCTTCACAAATATTTCCTTCACATCATCAGGAACACTTGGGCAAGCAATCACATCTTCCTTTGTCCCAGCAAGATGATGTTTCATCCTTGAAATACCACCCCAACAAACATGAAAACAGAACTTACATTTTACTTGAAATCTGTTTGGAGGGATACTATCACAATAGTTCCAAGTGATATCGAACTCTCTTTTTGAATGACCTACCAAGTGAAGAGATGGGACTAGTAAGTTGTAGAGGGAATAACAAAGAAAAAAAGAGAGAACAAGTGAAGGAATGAACCACACAATAAGAAGGGAAGCCCTTACCCTTGGACCACGATGAACAACAACCCAAACAGCAACCTAAACAAATCAGAGCAGAGAACCTGGACGAAGCAAATGGACCACTAACACGATGAACAACAACCCAAACGAAGCAGCGAACCTGGACGAAGCAAATGGACCACTAACACGATGAACAACAACCCAAACAGCAACCCAAACGAAGCAACCAACCTGGACGAAGCAAATGGACCACTAAAAGTGAAACCCACTAAGTGGGTCATGTACAGGAATGTGTATCGGCTCTTTCTGTATCTGTTTCGCCTTTTTTTATTTAAAAAAATTCATTTTTTTTAGGGTTTTCAGAACCGGGTCACGCATGACCTGACCCGATTTCGGACGCGACCCGCTTCTTCCCAGAATCGTGCGAGTTCTTCTAGAATCGCGATTTTTCGATTCGTAACCCGATACACACGATTCAAACACGATTCAAGAACAAAAACGATAAGCCCTGCGATTCGAATCACCGAACCACGGAATTGTATCGTATTGTATGATATGAATCGCGATTCTTCCAATACTTACTACCATGCTTAAGAGAGTGCTGCTATTATTTTCCTCGACATAAATTCAAGTACTCAATAAAATTCTTTTGCGAGTAAATTTAACATTATTTTTTTAAGAAATATTGGTATTATTAACTCTCTCAATATTCATTAATTGGTATGTTATATACCATAATATAAGAAGTAATTTGACTTATCATTTAAAGGGCACATATGACAAGTTTAACAAAGACTTAAATAACAATATTTTCTTCTAATTTTAAATAAAATATTGAAAAAAGGATAAAAATAAGAGGATGTAAATGATAATTAAAGGGAATTGTAACATCTTATTCTTCTACCCCAATATTAGATATTTCTATTAATAGTCCTTTCCATTCACAATTCATCTCCCTTCAATCAACAGGTGCAACAAACTAGAAATGAAGAAATCAGTAATTAGGAGGAGAATGTTTAATCTAACCTTTGAGATCCTAAAATTCAAATTAAAACTATTAGGTCGAATAATGGGTAGAAAAGGGGGGTTTGGTTGTGAGCAAAAATATATATGATGGTTGTTTTGGTGGGGACACAAAACCATCATTCTTACCAATTTTGTTAAGTCAGGGAGAATTCACAAAAAAATTGTAACTTTTTTCAAGTGCAAATAAGATTACATAGTTTCTAAACACCATTAGGGGCCATAAACAAAAAGGGAATGGAGATTTTTTTTTTCTTGATTGGATACAAAAAAAAAAGTGACAATGGCACGGGAAGACACTATATAAGAACACCCATTTTGATGGAAACAAATATTTACCTCACATTTTATCTTACTTTAGATTTGAGTCTAAAAGTCATAAAAGAATAGATGGGAGATTGATTTCTTTGGAGCCAAGATTTTAAAGGGATTCTTAACAAAGAATATTACAATAATTTTGCAAGTTTTGATGAATAATTTTTTAAGAATGGAACTTCAACCATAACAAATGAAAAACATGAAGAAGATGATGATGTAACCATTACAATTCCTTTTAATTTTTATTTATATCCCTATTAATTTTATTCATTTTTCACTATTATTTTGTCCCAAAAATTAATATTATCATTCAAGTTCTTGCTAAGCTGGCCATGTATATTCATCTGACAATACAAATCACTTCTTATATGACACATAACATGTTAACTAATAACTTAACTGTCAGAGTTAATGTTCCTTTAATACTAAGGATCAACTTAAGTGACGAAAATAAAAGTTAAGAATTAGCGTTTCATTTTCCTTAATTCAGATATTACTTTGACAGTGTCTCACAAAGTTAGGGACCAAAACATACTTTCCTCATTTTTTTTTTCCTGGCATCTAAATATCAGTATTTTTTTTAAGTCGTGTGTTAATAGTGTCCGACATACTATTTTTACACTTGATATAATGAAAAGCTTTCAGACATATGATTCCATTTTACTTTCTATTAGAACTAGGCAGTAGTAATCAACATATAATTAAATAAAGGGAAAAGGTACTTAACTACGTAAAATTTTATTCCATTTGCAAAGCCACTATAAACATTTTATGTAACTAGTGACTTCAAATATTAAAATAAACAAAAGTAAAATGGAGAAGGATACAGTTAGGGGGAACCATATACCAAAGTTAAACTTCAGTTAAGAAGGGAATTTAGAAGGATTGGGATTATCATTCATTTTTATCCCATTACTAGGTGTGCCTTTAAGTCTATGGGATATTAAGGTTTGGTCAAGTAAAAATATATCCAAACATCCATGACTCCAGAAAGTGATGCTTTGAACATCCTCTATTGATAAAAAGAAAATTATAAAATGTAAGGACAACTCACTCAAGCATTCTTAATCAAAAAAATGAGCAGGTTTGTATTCACATTTTGTTGTAACGCTTATTTATGTAAAAATAACAATTGAGTTGTATAAAAGCTTAAACTACGTAAAATACATGCTACATGCATCAAATTCCAACTATTGTGTTGTAAGTGCCATAAACAGCGAAAAATAATCCAGACAATAATACAATAGAATCCAAGACTTTTTGCCAGATGGGTAGGGAAGAGCCAAATATCTTTAGGTGAAAAGAGGCAGGCAAAACAAATGAGATCATTGCACATAAGGTACTCCCCACAAATGAGGCAAATACACCAAATTCTGGCACGAATGAAGATACGACTGCTAGTCCAACCACCACAATGGCACGGCTGATGTATTTGCCAATATTTCCTAGTCCTGTAGAATCATTATTGTTTCTGTGATTGACTTTTAGTTTCCCTTCCACAATTTCATTAATTGGGTGTAACATGGTTGGGAGTGTGAATGCAAGCCCCACACATAATCCCACCTGTCATCATATAAAATGTTAAGCGGTCAGGCTCTCCTGCTCAGCAATATGAATTATGAAATGCAACAAATTTGAAGATAAACAATGAAATATGACGAACTCCAGGAAAAAAGAAACTTAGGTTGGCTTTTCATGCACTTTTTTGGAACGGTTAAAGTCTGGATGGCATTCTGTGAAGTGTACTATCCTAGTAGACATGTCTAAAGACAAATTATAATACTGTGCACAACACGCAGCAACAGATACATCACCAGATATGCTAGACAGAACAGACACAACTTGGGAACAATCCTTTGATGTAAAATAGATTGAGATTACATCAATTGACACAAATTAAAAGTCATAATTATCAAACATCTATCAAACAGCATCACCTCTAAGCTCTAGTATCCTCAAATAACATGGATGCAACAAACAGATTCCACCAAGCCATATTGATTTTTATCTATTCCAAGGATTTTATGATGTTGCAATGCCAACAGGCTCTACTGGAATTGTGGCATTTGTGATATATCCCTATACAAGTCCATGTCACTGATAAATGCTTTGTATATGAAGAATCATGAAGGCAATATGCCTTTTCCCTACGAACATGCATTTGTGATATATCCCTATACAAGTCCATGTCACTGATAAATGCTTTGTATATGAAGAATCATGAAGGCAATATGCCTTTTCCCTACAAACATTTGTTATCAATCTACTAAATTTGATAAACAATAATAGAAATGATGTGCAAGGATATATCTGAAAGGTGGAATCAGGTACTTTCCTTTATAAATCTAAAGTAAACAAAATGAGAAATGAAAAACAGTGACACACAAGGAAAGAACACAAGATTGATTGACTAACTGCAAGAAAACTATTTAAGAGTAACCAAAGAGCTTAAATATGGATGTCTTTACTACCTGCACTGCAAGAGATGACCAATTCCTAGGGAGATTGAGGGTGACAATGTCTCTAGTTTCTTCACCATAAGCCATGTAACCACAAAACCCAAAAAGAATGTACACAAGTGTTATCCCACCAAAAGTCTGAGCCAGCAATCTTGGGAATTTACGCCTTTCCTGCATAGAATTCTCCAGGGCCAGAGTCATACCAAACCCCTCAAAACAAAAAACTGCCATGCCTGCTGCAAAAGGCAACCCCCCAATGTTGGATGTGATTGCTGTCCTTTGTCTAAATGAAAATCCCTCCCCTACGGCCTTTTGAATATCCTCCTTCACCACAATGCCCATAGCTAAGACATTGCACACATCAGCAAAAATGCTAAAAGGAGCCAAAGCAGATAAACTCCCTATCCAAGACAATCCAGTCTCAAGCGGTACCAACATAAATATGTAGGAGGCCATTGACAGTCCTTGGTCTTGGAATACAGAATAAAGGTTTTGTCCAATAAATACAAAATAAGCAACAGACCCTGCACATTGTGCTACCAAAATTATAACTTCTGTCACATACCGACCCGGGGTTCCAAAGGACCTATAACCCAAGTCTCCATATGTGCTCGCTTCCACTAATGGTTCTTCTGATGACAATTTTTCTCGACACAAAACCTGTGTCCACGAAATAAAACCCAAACCTCATAATGACATCAAGCAAAAAGAGAAAAGAAAAGAGAAGCAGCAGCAGGAGGACGTATAGAATAAATTATGTACCATGTAACTTTAATGTGTAGTCATTAAGTTGAACAAGTCAGTGGCATGGTACCCCACACCACAGAAAATATAGAAAGATGCATTAATGGTATAAACTGCAAAGATTTTCTTTCTTCAATAACTCTCTCAAAAGTCACAACAAAGATGATTTTTAATTTAGATTTTCAATTGCGATCATTAATTGTTACCTATGTGACTCAGTCCTGAAACGAATAAAAATCCTCTCCATTTTCTCTAGTCTTGTAAGTCTATAAAGGACATTATATACTCGTCATGAAAAATATTCAAGTCTTTTAACCACTGAAAGCTAATAGTGGACAAGAAATGAAAAAAAAAATGGAGAGGATAAAACACTTTTCAAAACAGAAGAAACATTAACAAATTTTCTCAGCAGATTAGAAAATATACTATCAAACAATCAAAACTTATGTTAAGGGTTATTTTCAATCAAACAAAAATCATTTTAAATATCACTATTAAAAGTAATCATCGTAAAAAGTGCATAAACTTACTTTACACTATCATATATATATTTATTTTATTTTATGAAAATCGAACTCATAATGACGGAGTCTAATTTACGGCTCTTAGACATCCTATTCAACCAACTCGGTAATAGAAACACTGTTCTATATAGCATCATATATGATCAGATGACAGTAGAGTGCATTTTAATTAAAATCTTAAGAAAAGGAAAAAGCATAAAATCAATCCACCAGAACTAATGCAATAAAAAAATAAAAAAATAAAAAAATCAAAAAATCACCCACAAGCAAGAGCATGCAATAGTAGGTGGATAAGCCAACGATGGCAACCCCAAGCGATCCTGCGAGCCATCCAGCGATCCGAAAAGCGAAGGGCAATCCCAAAACCCCAGTTCCGACCACCGTGACGATGATGTTTCCCAACGTTTGAAGCCTCGAAGCTCTTATGGAAGTCAAAGGCTCCAACAGAGTTGATGCGACGTCGTTTTTGGCGTCCCGCCCCATGTTTGTTGTGATATAACCGATCTACCCGGAACGTTATGGCGTCAAGTAGAAAGAGGGGCCACGTTCACTATGTGCATGCGAAGAAAGAAAAGGGGATAATTATGAGAATCCAAAGTACAAAACAAAGGCTGAGGTGTTGAAGGAGTGTGGTGTGATTTGGATCTATATATAATGAAACGAGTGGCAACTTTACCCAGCTTCTCTTCAGTCTTACTGGGTCGACAACCACCGAAATTCATCATTGAGCGGTAAATGACAAATAGTAGTATTTGGAAAGAACACAAAGGACTACGTTAATTGTTCCATGCCACACAATCGACTAAATCATTTAATTCTCTTTTATGAGTAAATCATTTAATACTTTGACTTCTCCAAATTTTACAATACAATGTATCATACCTATTAATTCCAACCGGGGGATGGATTCATATGTATCTTTATACAATTTTTTTTGGCAGTGCTGTCTTTATATAGTTAATTGTTATAACCAATTATATAATTGTTTTTTTAAATTTAATTTGTATATTTATTCTAATAATAAAAGAGATATTATGTGTCACAATTTGTTTCTAATTTTACCCTTTAATTAACTACTATAAAAATAATTGTACACTACAAAAAATAAAAACTATAACTAAGAAGGAAAATAAATGTTCTCCCAAAGGTACAGAGTACCTTCTTTTCATACCAGTAAAGATAAAATAAATGTGGATTGAAATGGGTATTGTGATTAAAAAAATTCATTATGCATGTAAAGATAGAAAATGATTAATTTAAAATGATTGAAGGACAAATTTTTTTTTATACTAATTATTAATGTAAGGATTTTTTTTTAAGTTTGTGAACTTTTATCAATTTTATTTAGTTTTGAATAATTTTTTACTAATTTTAGTTCATAAACTTTTACCTATTTTCAATTTTAATCTTTAAAGTTTTTCTCTTGTCAACATTTTTTGTCGTTGACATTAAGATTTTTTGTTTACAAAATAAAATCTTATGGATTTAAACTAAATAAAATTTGTTCAGGTTCTATAAGTAAAAATTAGAAGAAGAAAAAATTATAGACTAAAATTATATTTAATCTTATATATAATATATGAAATAAATATAACATTAAAATATGTAATTGAGAGAGTAACGAACCAAAAAAAATGTAATTGAGAGAGTAAAAAGAGTGAAAATCTCATATATTCTAATTTACATGATAGAAGTTGATTAACAACATCTAAAATAATGATTTTCTTTTACTTGTTAAAAAAAATTGAGTAAGGTGATAATTGTCTTAATCCAAGATTTGATTAGATTCAACGGAAGAGGTTGGTATTATAATTCAATATTTTTTTATAGAAAGACACCTCATTACAGTTATTTAATGATTATTTTTTATAAAGGCACTCTGATTAAAGTAGGGCAAAATTTTAAATAATTTTTTAAATGAGGCTATTTTAGAACATTTTTTTAAATGAGATCGTTTTTGTTGTGTCATTTGAAAGTCGCTGAGTGACGTGAAGATTTTAGTATCACTTGACTTTTTAAAGAAGAAGCTTGTCATTAGTTCATATGGAGATTTATCATTTATACATAATCTTATTTAATATATACAATAAAATACACAATAACAAATAAATAAATTATAATATATAATAAATATATATAATCATAATATATTATTTAAATATAAACATTAATTATATAAAATATTGATTATGAAATCAAAGGATGAGAGTATTTGAGCACAATATGTTAATGTCACCTAGCTCCTGTTGGTTATGATAAATTTAAGGAGGAATTAATTATTAAATTTTCTTTGTTTGAATCTATGGCAAATCTACACTCATTTAAGATGGATAAGTGCATCTCTCCACTTTAATTTAATTCGTAATATATTTATATACGACTCTTTTCCTAATTAAAAAATATATTTTCATAGTCTTATCACTTTGTATGAATAAACTATACACATTATTTTAAAGATTTGTGAAAAATATATCAAATAAGACCGACAGAAGTCGGAATATCTCTACCTACTAAATGAAATACAAAAGTGTACCTCATTGCATAAGAAGTAAAAATAGTCTCTCAAACAGTACAGAGAACTCAGAAGTATAAGAAAGGAAAATAAACAGAAGAGAAATGTTGAATCTTCCGAATCAGTCAACGAAAGATCCTCCGAACATTAAGAATTTTAAAAGTTAAATATAAGTAAATATTTTATTATATATTTTTAATCTTTTGAATGAAATTCCAAGTTTTTCATTCATGAAATAGCATTGCTCTAAATAGAGTGTTTTATCTTATCAGACAAATTAAAGAAAAACAATTAATACGGTACTAAATATCTCAAGGTCTACTTTCAAGCTTTGTGAAGCTAAAAGAAGACGAATGCATAACAAATTCTCAACGGTGATTTTTTATTGATTGCTTACAAATATCAAGATGTTTAAAGAAAGAGAAACTACTTGATCAAACTCAACTTCCTATCTTCGAAGTCTCTTGTAAAAAATCTACAAAGTACCTTAGATAAATATCTAATCTAAAAATTGTAAATTCGTCTTTATAAGACGATATAGTTAGCGATTTTTTATTCTGGTCTTTTTTTAGCCAAGGTAATTGTATTTTAAAGAGAATTTGTATCAAAGAATATTTTTGTATTGCTTGAAGTAACAGAAATTTTGTCTCATTAAAAGAAGAAAAAAAACATAATTGTTTGCCACATGAACTGATCGTTTTTTATGTTAAATTGCCTCATGGTTTGCGGCATTAAAAACTGCTGCAACATTAGAAGTGACGCCGGTCTACGTAGAATCTCAATCAACTAGTGAAACTTATTTATAAAGGCTGGGATAAAATGAACACCGTCAAATGGTCGCTACCGTGATCACCCTCTCGTGTGCAGAAAACTAAGCTAGGTGGATTACAAACGGGCTTGAGAAAGAAAATTTTCTTTTTGTGTTGGGGTTCAAATATAATTACTTTAATACCGTTTGAAAATTAAAACAACTTACAATTTTAAGCGGGCAATGAAATTTAGAAGTGCATGGATGCACCAATCTAAAAGGAAGCATTGTATAATGCGTCTACTTGCTTATATAGTTATATGTATATATACAGAAACGCCTACAAGTACTGCGAGACTCAAGTGCTGTGAACTATCACAAAAGCATCCAGAAACAGTTTTGCATTTGTGCCAAGACTTCGAACGTTTTTGTATGTAGTTTCAAAATCCTAAAAACTTCTACAACGCCTCAAAGCAATATGGCTGACAAACACAGTCCATGGCATGGATCAGTTTCCTGCGAGGTCCCACTGCACTGGCACCCATATCCTTGAGCTTTTTCATGGTTAGATTTACCAGCTGATACTTACTGATACTTTTCCCATGAAAAATACTCACAAACTGCTCCAGTCCGAGTGATGTCAGCCACTTGCTCAGTCCACCGGCTCTTTCAAGCTTTCTCTGAAGATTTGAAGCTCTCAAATTTTTATTCAAGGTTTCTAGGTTGGAGGGCATTCTATGTGCAAGTAGTGTTCTGGGCTGCTTAATAACTTTTGATGTATCACAAATTCCTACATTGTGTGGCTTCAAAATATTCACCTGATGTTGATTTTCTGATTCTATTCTTTGATCTAAAGATGGGGGATTGAGTACAGTGGGTTTAGGTAAGGCAGGAGGAGCTCTTCTTTCAGCACGAGTCTCCTTTTGGACAGCTAACAAAGTGGTCTTTTCATGTCCATTGCCTGAAGGATGTATAGTAGATGTCTCCTTGGGAAGCTGCACATGGTTACTTGCTATTTCAGGGGACATAAGATGCATGTGATTTGGTCCTTGGTTTGCTGTTAGTGATCTTTCATTGAGAGGCGCAGCAGGCACCAGAATGGTGACTCTCTGCTTTTTCACTATAATCCAATCACTATCCTCAATCGGATCATCACAGTTTAGAGAATCAGTGAGGCATTGTGAAGAAGTACCACTTTTTTTAACAGGAACTTTTCCTGTGCGCCTCTGCTTTGTTTTCACCATTAGCTGAGAACCTGCATGACATTGGTAGGATGTAAAGCATTAAATCACTAACAAAACTCAAGGTTCGTTTGAAGTCATAAAATCAATGAAAAAAATTACTTCAGAAAAACAATTTTAAGCATAGAATACAAACAACTCTATTCCTGAGCAAAATGACTTAAAGTTGTAACCCAATCCAACTATAGCATTTCATACATAATATATGTGTATAAGAAACTTGCTCCAGAGTCCAGACTAAGGAACTTAGAATTAAAATGAGCAAAGATCAAGTTGCAAAATTAATTGTATCCACTTTGGAATTCAAATTCAGACTAATAGAATAGTAAGTTAATAACCTTACTTTTACAAATAAATGAAATGAAATGAAATGCAACAAAATCTAAAGGGAAGTACCAGAAAGATTCTTTCTGTCTAACAAAAATTACAAATAAACAAACAAATTGCTTGACATTTTTTTTTTAATCAACCTCGAAACAAAAAGTTCTCATAAATTATGTTTATAAGCACGGCACAGAAAATACATAACTAGCGATGTGATAAAATCATTCATTTCTTAAGTCACAGAAGACATTTAGATAACTATTACCTCTGTTCTTATATATCATATCCAATTGCCTAATTTACCAAGATTAAGAAAAATAATTAATTTAATTAATCACAATAAATTTGTGTTATTTATACATATTTTTTTTCTAAAACTATCCTTATACTATTTTTCTTTCCTAATTAATCTCATATTTTTTAACCAACCAATTAAAGTACATCCTCTATATTATATTTTTCTCATGATTAATACTCATCTTTCTCTTAAGCAGTTAGAGTATATGTTCTTTAAAAAATTTATAATTAATACATTTTTATCAAATTAAGATTACACATTTTAATTATAAGTATTTTAGTCTGAAAATAATTAATATATGAGATAATATGAATTGAGTCCAGAAAATAATTGTTCTAAATTAGTTCTTATGAATAATGTTGGTTGAGTATTAAAACATGAAGGATCCTGAGGATGAGCTTAATAGAAAAGTGATGGAAGGCAAATACATTTACCCTAAAAAGAAAATTATAGCACATAAACTACAGCAGATTTATTATCCACTAACTAACGACTAGGGAGGCTTGAATTTCTTGCACGCGATCTCGATAATTCCTAAGTATGTCTCCTAATCTGTATTACCGAAACTCCAAATTGTTCATTTGTTATTTGCTAAAATGTCCGACAAGGTTGGATCACGAAATAGGCCTTCAAAAACCACATTCTATATATTGCAGTGAAATGCAAAAACCCACAACTTCGAAATCTAAATGCTAGCGATGGATAAAGAAGAATGAAAACCCCCCGCACAAAAAATCAAACATTGGGTAGAGGAGAAGAAGAAGGGGCAAGGAAAAATACCTGAATCCTGAATCTTTGAAAATTGAACTAAGCACTTCTTCTCTTTCCTCTTCAACTTGAAAACTTGCGTGCCCTAATATTCGCTTCGAAGCTCGGCAAATTGGGTAAAACTATTTGGAGAAAGAAATTAGGGTTTATTATCGAATTACCTATGCTTAAACAAATTATATTTTGGGGGGAAGAAGTGATATTGAAAATTTATAATTAAATCTAAATAAAAAAAATTACAATTAAATTAATATTTATAAAATATATAAAATTTACATTTGCACCAGTAAATTTTTTCTTAAGTTTATTATCTAATTCAATTTTTGTTATTATAATTATTTATAAATTAAATATTAATATTTTAAAATAATTTATTAATAGATAAAAAAAATTAGTTACAATACAAATTATCTATCATAAATTTTTATATGTTTAAAAATATTATTTATAAAAAATTAAAATATAATTTATATATTTAAAATGATATTTGTTTTTATATATAATTTATTATAAATTTTAATTATATATAATAAACATACATGTATATTATACGGACTAAAATAATAATAATAATAATTTTATGATTAGTTTTCACACAAATTTAATGTTTACCAACATTTTAATATACACAGCGATAAGTATATATTTATATAATATTATTTATAACAAATAAATATTTTTAGTATATAATTACTAGTCTTTAGATTGTATAATATATCAGATATATTTTATTTTATATAACAAAATTAATAATAAGTAAATACGTTAGAATGTATAAGTTATATTATAAATAAAATTTATAAAAATATTTTATCATTTAAAATACATTTTAGATTTATGATATATAATCTATATTACAAAAAAAAAGGTTAATTATTGACAATTTGTTTATAATTTATTGAAATTTAATTTAAAATTAATATTTTAGTTTATCCAATTATATAAGTTAAGTGTTTATTATGTATAACTGAAATTTATAATAAATGATATTCTACGTTTAAATATATAAATTATATTTGAAATTTATATAAGTATATATTTTTTAAATATGTAAATTATATTTTAAATTTATAATAAATAATTTATATTATAATATAACATATCTTTATTTTTTATAATTTATTTTAAAAATATTAAAATTTAATTTATGAATAATTATAATGAATAGAAATTAAATTAGATAAAAAAAATTAAAAATTAAAAATTTTCTTGTTGAGAAAAAGTTGAAAGAACTATGTGAGGATTGGATTGGTTGCGTAGCAGCGTAGGCAGTGCACACGTTTAACGAAACTATGGTTGGAAGGGGAGCTATGATCTAGTGTGAGCCCATAACTTGAAGTGCACCTGCTTCCTTTATTTTGTTTTATTTTAACAAAAAAAAAAAACAGAAATAAAAAAGTAGCATAATGCCACCATTTGGTTACAACTGATATGAGGTGTTTCCTATTGTCGGAATAATGGCTTATCAAAGCGGAGTAAGGTTACAATGTGACGAGAAAAAAAAAGAAAAAAAAAAAGTCCTAAAGAAACATGCGACATGGTCTCCACATTTTGCTTTAGGAATCACAATGTCTTTGATGAAACGGACCATGATCATGGCGCTTTTGCATATTTTTTGCATGGCGTTTGACAATGATCATGGCGCTTGACAATGATCATAGCGCTTTTGCATGTGCTTTTCAACCTTAAATTCATTGAGAACAGCTATGTCTTTTCTAATTATTTTTAGTGCGTATATTCTCTCGAGAGACAGGTATATGTGAAATGCAGCTATAGGTTTTATTTATGTGTTGAGTTAAAGAGAATCGAAAATTTGTGTGTACAAGTAAAAGTCAAAATTAATTTACGAGAAATAAATATTATGTGATGAAAAAGTGAAAAAAATAATTGTGAGACATTATTTTAAAAATGATTTAAGTAATTAATATTTGATAATTTCTTTATATTGAGAATAATTAATTATTAGTACACTAAATCATAGGTTATTATGAAAGAGATGAGACTCACCTTAAATAATCAATATAATTATATATGATAATTATTTTATGTAGTGTTCAAGGTATTTTTTTTTATGTTTTTGAGATATTGATTTTAAGGTTCCCTCTTAATTTTGTGATCATATGCTTGATTTTGGTAAATAAAGTTGAAATATGTTTTGTTACTTGCTCTTGAGTTACGTGAGACAAAAATTTAATGTTATGAAGAGATAACTAGTGTTTGAAATTTAATGTTATGAGGAGACAACTAGTATTAATTAAGTGTATTAATTAAATGTTTCTATTATATAATGAATGTTGATGTTTTTGATATTAGGGATGTGAATATTCTCTTGATAAAATACTTGACATATAGTGTTGATTTATGTTTAAGTAATATGACTAGGAAGTTATTATAAAAATTAGAGGACATGTGGATTTTATTTTTAAGGTGTGTATGTGATAGTGTTAAGAATGATAATTTATTGGTTAGTTTATATATTTATTTTGCAGTTTCTAAGATTGTTATGAAAGCTATGGATCTTTATAGGTATATTTTTCATGTGTTTGATTAATTAAAATAAGTTATTGAGATTTAGGGGTTTTAATTATGAAAGTTTTTGTAAAAATTTAAGAAATAACGAAATTGACTTTATAGTGATAAAGTTTTCTTAGATAGAAGGTGTGTAAGCTCTATTACAATTACTTTGAGATCAACCAAATAATTGATTATTGATTATGAGATCAAAAATCAAAAAACCTCTTAGTAATATTCCATTGAGAATATAAGTATATAACATTGAAAATAATGTGGAAAGTAATTGTTTGATTAGAAAGATTGAAAATTTTTTATAACTGAAACCCTTATAGAAAATATTGTTATATTATACATCAAGAGGGGTGAGATTTTATTAAGTCACTTGAAAATAAATAAGTAATGATAATTCAAACTTTGTTACTGAAGATCCCACAAATAATGTTCATATAGGTAAAAACAAGTCATTTGTTAGTTTTGCTAGAACTAAATTGATTTAAATCAATTTATATTATTTTATAATCTCTTCTTATGATGTGAGAAAATGTTAAAATTACATTAATGGGAGGATTATATTTAAGTTTTATGTGATTGGGAGAAAGATAGACATTTTTATAATTTTTTTTGTGATTTTCATATCCTTGGGTGGTATATAATGTGTGGCGTACACTTGGTATAACCACCCATATGAGTGTAAAGTGAAGTCGTTTTATGTGATCTTAGCACGTGCATATCCTATTAGTACACAACAATGATAACAACAATAATTGTGAGGTGTAATGTAATTGAATCTTTAATGTACACAAAATGTCTTTGGTTTATATAGCTCGTTATACCAATTACATGTGTGTTAAGTCTTATTAATCCATGCTTGATTCATGTAGTTTGCTACATTATATTTGATACATTACATTCAAGAGAATGAGAATCCAAAAAATTAATTCCTTTACTAAAATCTTTTTTTTTTAACCCTTTTAAAATAGATGGGAGATTATTTTATATTTTGTGTAGATATTTCAAAATGGTTAGTATATTTGCTAAATAAAGTTTTAAAAAATCTGCTTTATTATAGAAGAAGTTAAGCTTAATCTACAAAGTTTATGAATTTCGCGAATTTAATTCGTGAACAGACTCATTTAAGAGATTTTTCTTATAGCTTTATGAGATTTAAATAAAGCATGATTTTAGTATCTTGTTAATAAATAAGTATAAATAATAAATATTAAATTTAATATATTATATATTAAAAATATATAACATTTTTTGGTAGCTTTATATGTTTTAGATTTTTTTTATGCATAAATATTAAATGTACTAGTTTGATATGTTAATATTTTAATGTTTTAGTTTAAATATATAAATCTTTATATGTTAAGACCTTCATATATTTTTTATTTTAAATTGTTTGATATTTATTTTTTTAATAATATTTTTATGTATTTTCCCTCATTTATTCTTGAAATAAAAAAGGAAGGAAAAAATTATTTTTAATTCTTTTATTAGACCTACAAACTTGTCTATTTAATGGCAAGCTTTGCAAAGTGAGTACGGGTCATAAAAAAATATCATTTATTTTATTAGTCAGACTTATTAACCTTGTTTAAAAAATGAATTTTGTAGACCAAGTCTTAGACAAGTCAAATTAGGTCGTATATTCACTTATATAATAAATAAGATGTTACTCCATTTATTATTGAGAATGACCTTATATGTTATATTATATAACTTACACATTATGTGAATAAATTTTTAAAGACATTATTATCACACATTTAAGATTATTAATACTTATGATTATACATTTTTTTTATCAAAAAATGAATCATAACAAGAAGATTAACCGTGAAAATAGACAATAATGTACAACAATAATTTTAATAATTTTAAGATTAGCTCGGAAGATTTATTATTTGAAAGCAATATATATTAAAAAAAGTGAAATATATTCTAAATAAATAACTAAACATACAAAATACAAGCTGTGAAACATCTCGAAAGGAAACAAATGCAATGGTGATGTACATCAGCTTGGCACAAGATCACAACAGCTAGCAATATAAAACAAGACAAAGAAAACAATAAAAAAGGATGAATTAGGCTGGTGGCCTGATGATATATAATTGTAACGATGATTCTGCAAGCATATATATATTAAATGATTGAAACAGTGAATGGTAGCACACCTGACACCACCATGTTCATGAAATTAAATATTAACAAGCAAACAAAGTTCTCAACAGAAGAAAATAACATGATGAATAGCAAAGATATGAAACCATTTACCTCCTTGTGCAGCTCCGCTCCTCAAACTGTGTCTTCCCCTGAGTGAAAAGGAAAAACCCTCACTCCTAATGCCCATGCCTCTTTCACAATGCATAACACTTTTTTCTTATTCTTATTCTTCTTCTTCTTCTTATCAACTTTGCACAGAAACAAAAACTTACCGCTTGTTAACGTGGGAGACATGTCAGTCCCCAAACCCTGTTCCTGACGCAGTTACTGGTTGTGTAATGGTTGCAGGGTGTCCTTTGTGTGTGTAATGCTTGCATGGTGTCTTTTTGTACGGGAGAAAAAGGAGGGGAAAAAAAAAAAACAAAAACAGGGACATGCTCTTTGCCTCTTGGTTTAATTTAAACCAAAAACAGAGAACACAGGCATTAACGGATTTTGTTTCTATTTTTATTTTTAGACTTTTGTTCTTCTTTTTATCTTCTCTTTTCTCACTAATGTTTTTTTTTTCTTCTCATCACCATTTTATTAACTTCAAATTGAATAGTAAAAAGAAACTTAATTACTTGTGAATAAAATAAAGAAAAGGGATTTTTTTGCAGGTAAATGATAAAAAAAAAAAGTTAGTGAAAGTAATAAATTGATCCTGTTGAGCAAGTGTAAGGAAGAAAAAGGGAAGGGTTGACACTGAAGCAGTGCATCCAACAAAAAATAATTTATTTTGCAAATTGCGAAATATGCGCGGGTCTTGGTGGCTTGAAACTCACGTTAATAATACGTTCCTTATTCTCGATCCACTCGGAGATGACATCAAATTCCTTTTCTCTTTTCTTCATTCTCCTACACTCACACACAACCAAAACCCTCATCCGTTGAGCTCTCGAGAAACTCGAGGCTAACCATCACTCATAACTCACAAGTAACAACAACACCGTATATATCGCCTTCAGTTACCTTCACCACACTTTCTTTCTCCCATTCCCAACAAAACCAAAACTTTATCTTTTTCTTATTTCTCACGCGCTCTCGTCCGTTTCAGGTACGCTGTGCAATAATTAATGATGCCCATTTGATTAGATAATCGAATTGTTGCGTGGATTAGGATTTGGAAGTGAGGAAAAGGAGAAATGAAATTCGGGTGTGCATTCAGAGAGTACCTGCAGGAAGAGCGAGAGTGGTTAGTGGACGATAAATGTGCCCACGTCGAATACATCAGATTGAAGAAAGTCTTGAAGAGTTGCCAGAAAGATACCTCTTTGGATAAGGACCAGTTATGTCACTGTCACTCTTGCCCATGTAAGTAAAACCACTTCGTATACTATTTCTGAATTGTCTCTTATGTGAAAATTGAAACTTGTTTGGCATGGTCTTAGTTGAATGATTCATTTCGTTTTTAGAAATTAGTCTTAGGTCGCGGGGGTCTTATTTTCTGCCTTTTCCAGATGCTAGGGTTCATGCTCTTGCATTCACGGGAACAAATTGGGGATTGTGGGCGAATTAATATGTTAGACTATTAGGTTAAGTAGTCAATTAAAATTAAGAGTAAGGGTTTATATTAGTGTTGAGTTTATTTAATTTTGCTGTAAGTTCATGAATTTTTTACGTAAATAAAATTATTTTAATTTTTTTTTACCAAAATAACATCTGTGCAACATTATTTACCCAACTAGAACCAATCACTGTTCATGCTCAGAATTCGGTTCCCGGGGAACCGAATTCTGAGCTTCAATATTTTTTTTTTGTGCGTTTGTGCCCAAGTGTGTGCAAGTTTTGGAAGTGGAACGGGCCGTTCCGGAAACAGAACGGCCCGTTATGCTTAAACACTTAGAGTGCTTTTTTTAAAATTGGAACGGCCGTTCTAATTTAAAAAAAAACACTCTAAGTGTTTAAGCAGAACGGGCCGTTCTGCTTCCGGAACGGCCCGTTCTACTTCCGGCATTCACCCAAAATGGGCCACAAATGCAAAAAAAAAAAAATTAAAACAACTCAGAATTCGGTTTCCCGGGAACCGAATTCTGAGTTGTAAAAAAAAAAAAAAATATTGAAGCTCAGAATTCGGTTCCCGGAGCATGAACAGTAATTGGTTCTAGTTGGGTAAATAATGTTGCACAGATGTTACTTTTGTAATTTAAAAAAAATATATTATTTATGTAAAAAATTCGTAAGTTCATTTATGATTTGTTTTTTTGGAAAAGAAAGATATAAGGAAGCGATGTTTCTTGAAGGTCCAGGAACAAGCAAGAGGTAATGGCTTTAACATTTTGGGATGAGAATAGCTTTATAAAATCAGAGATAGTTAGAGGAGAGGGTTAATGATGGGGATCTTTGATTATAGGGTTGACTGTTACTTTCATAATAAGGTTGGTGGTTCTTTTTGTTGGGATTCATCCCAAGTCCCACATCGGTAAAATGAAGGAACATTGGCTAGTTTATAAGTGTCCACCATTCCACATAGTATGAGGCCTTTGGGAAGGAGCCCAAAAACAAAACCGTGCGGGCTTGGGCCCAAAGCGGACAATATCATACTATGGTGGAGGAACGGGTGGACTAGCGGGCCCTAACAAGACTTTTAATTTTCTGAGTGAAATAGTTTGTTTTGAGCTAATGTTAGCTGAGATTAGTATTATTTAGTGAATATAATTTTACTCAAGTTTTCTCTAAAGTCAGTTTGTAACGCCTGATTCACTTTATGATTTGGTTTCTGTGAATATTCTTTGCAATTGATCAGTTCAGAGCTTATGTTATCCGCAGCAATTAGATTTAAAGCATGTTGTGAGCAAAATCCTGATTAAAGATTATGAAGTGTTTTGGAATTTAACCAAAGTGTATTGCTTTATGCTGTTTAATGTTTTTGTTTTCCACTTGTAGTGTGTGATCAACAGTTCTTCTCTGAGTTGATGAAGGAAGCATCAGATGTAGTGGTATACTTTAGTTCAAGAGTTAAGCATCTCCTTCATCTTCATATTTCAACAGGACTGCAGAGATATGTATTGCGCTTGCGCCAATGCTTCAAAAATGACAGGCAAGCCCTTGCCCAAGAAGGGAGGATTCTAATTGAGTACATTGCAATGAATGCTATTGCAATGAGGAAAATACTTAAGAAATATGATAAAGTATGGACCAACCGAGACAATTGCCACATACTGTTACCCCCTTTCATTTATACTTCCTCTGATTTAGTGTTCTTGGGTTCATTCCATCCTTTTCTATTCTACTCCAGGTACACAGCTCTGTGAATGGGGAGAATTTCAAATCTAGGATGCATGCTGAACACATTGAACTTTTGCACTCACCTTGGCTAATTGAGTTGGGTGCTTTTTATCTGAATTCTAGTGGACTAGATGGTTGTGAGCTTGATGGAGTCTATGGTCACTTTTCGTGTGATATAAATATAACTAAAGCTGTAATGACATTGATTCTTCCTGATTCTATTAAGCTCGAGTATGATCTACATTGTGCAATTTGTCTGGTAAGTTCCTAATTGTATCATATGCTGCACTGGAAAAAAAGGAAAGATATTTCAATATCTCTTATAAATGCTTGGATTGTGATATGATAGGATGTTATTTTCAACCCATATGCTTTGAGTTGTGGTCATATTTTCTGCAAGTCATGTGCTTGCTCAGCTGCCTCTGTGATGCTTTTTCAAGGCATTAAAGCTGCAAGTCCTGAGTCCAAGTGTCCTATATGCAGAGAGGTATGTGTTCTGTACTCAGCATTGATATATCAATGAAGAAAATAAAATAAAATCCCTTGACACTGCCCTTGCTAAAAATTTAAATCTGGCTAAAAAAAGTATTGGTATAATAATGAGATAGAAGTCAATGATGCAATTATGCAACTCAATAGGGGTGGGTTTGGTGAAGGTTCTTTATGGACCTTATTTATCACTATCATTAATTGGTTTGCAAACTCTTAGTAATCTTCGTTTTCAGAATTATATCTCTATAAGATGAGTAGAGGCGTTATAGCCTATCTTGAATAACATTGATCCAGCAATTTCTCTTCGTTATCTTCACAAAACATTGAGTATTTCCATTTTTCCCTTGTGAACAAAACATGGCTGCCTGATGACTAAAGTATAGTGATAATGTCATTTATCTTATTCCTTGGAGCTTTAAAGCATATTCTGAAGTTTGTTTGTATTTTGAAGTTTTTAATTATAAAAAGTTGCTTTTATAAAGGACAAACACACCATTTTTTCATGCAGGTTGGGGTTTATTCTAAAGCTGTGCGTATGTTAGAACTTGATTTGCTGATGAAAAGAAGGTATTACATGGTCATGATAACATTATATTTCTTATTCTCATGTGAACCAATGGAATCACATTAATCTTAAAGATTTTGCAGGTGCAAAGATTACTGGAAAGAGAGGCTAGCTGGTGAACGTGCTGATATGTTGAAGCAATCCAAGGAATTCTGGAATTTACAGTCCACATATGCAATTGGGTTGCTGTAGGCTTTTATACTTTGGCCATCGAGACACCCGAGTATTACATCATTCTGAGTTCGTCCTTTGGCTTCACTGAGCTGCTGTAGGTGAGGTAGGATTTAAATAGTTCTTTAGACCTTAGCACGAAGAGGGAAATAATAAATAAAAACGACAACTTTGGACAGTGGCATCCTCAGTCGTCTCGTCACTTCTCGAAAATTTAAGGCAGAGTCGGTGATACTGATAGTCTAATTCATAGCCTTTTTTATTTTTATTTTTTATAAAATTTATGTCGAAGGAAGTTATCGAATAATTGTCATTCTAATTATATTTAAACTTGAAGTTTTATGTGAACACTTAGACAAATAATTGGATATCAAATTACGACTTAGGAATGAAATTGAACCTGGGAACTTTAATCAGATGGGATATTCATACAATAATTTATATAATTTTTTTTGTGTGTTTATTTCTTTTTATTATATCATTTATTACATCTTTTAACACTTTTTTTTTTCTATTATACAATTTGTTCTACGAATAGCATTTCTCAGCTTTAATTATGACATTTAAAAGTCCTTTAAAGTTGAAATTAGAATTCAAAGACAAAATTTATGTAAGTATAATACAACTAAAATTTAATCGCACTTTTTTTAATCTCTAAAATATAATTCCTAACTTTATATTTTTATTGGGTAATTGCAATCCATGTTTTTGCTGCTCTGTCACTGTCATACTCTTGTTCGTCATTGTTGTTGTCTATCACTGTCCCATTGAAGATTGAGAAAGAAGCCCATCTTATTCCAAAAAGCATCTAGAAAGAACTTTGGAGTATCCTTATCATCCAAATGAAATAGGAATATGTTTGTTACAATATTAATTGTAGATAACCCGTCCCTTGGGAATCATGGTTTTCACAACATTCCTGATCAGAGGCTTGACACAGAATATTTTCCCAACCAGTGTGTGACTGAGTGGTGTTATTTTGTATGTTCATCCTCTTCTAATTGATAATGCTTCCATCTAAGTCGGGTTCAGCCTCTTCCTTCCCGTGCTTACCTACACTAGAGTGTTGCATTTTACTAGCCACATCAGCCAACGAAACAAAGACTGTTTGGTTGTGTGGGATTGATTATAAAGTGGATCATTTGTGAGCAACAAAGACTTGCTTCTCCATGAATCTGATATTTCGAAAATGAAAATCTGAAGTAACGTGGACTATCAAACACGGAATTTTTTACGGATATAGAATTTTTTAAAAATTTATTTTACCAAAAAGGCATATGTTCAACTTTATTTATACATCTAGCACCATTCACTGTTCATACTCAGAATTCGGTTCCTGGGGAACCGAATTCTGAGCTTCAAAATTTTTTTTTTGTGCTGAGAATTCGGTTCCTAGGAAATCGAATTCTGAGTAGTTTTAATTTTTTTTTTTGTGGCCCAATTTGCGCGAATCTTGGAAGTGGAACGGCTTGTTTCGGAAGTAGAACGGCCCGTTCTACTTGTACGACTGTTATTTTTGAAATTGGAACGGCCCGTTCCGGGAGCAGAACGGCCTGTTCTTCGGCCGTTCCAATTTAAAAAATAACAGTCTACGTGTGCAAGTAGAACGGGTCGTTCTGCTTTCGGAACGGGCCGTTTTGCTTTCGGAACGGGCCGTTCTGCTTTCAGAACGGGTCGTTCCACTTTCAAGGTTCGTGCAAACTGTCCACAAACCAAAAAAAAATAATTTAAAACTACTCAGAATTCAGTTCTCCGGGAACCGAATTCTGAATGTGAACAGTGAATGGTGCTAGAAGTATAAATAAAGTTGAACATATGCCTTTTTAGTAATTTTTTTTTTAAAAAATTCTATATCAGTAAAAATTTCTAATATTGTCTTCGTTGATGGGAAAAAAAGTTGTCTTCAACAGGGCAATGTACCATATAAATATAGCAAGAGCCCCTCTGCCTAATCGAGAAACGCTCAAAATCAAATCACCTTCCTACTCCATACTTTATATTAAGAGGAAAATATAATATTGATCTCACATTTATGATTGATGTATTGAATACTTTTTTTGCACCATGTATAAAATGCTAAAAAAATTAGGTAGAAATGATATAATTAAAATATAATAATAAATAATATCTTTAACTTTTTAAAGGCAATATTTTTTAAATTTATTTTAAAGAATATTTTTTTATTGAACCTAAAACAATCTTTTTCAAAAGTTTTCCATTCACATAGATAATATAAATAGTAATAGAATTAAGCGAAGTGGAGGGGTATATGTTATCTACTATCTATATATAACTGATCTACTATCTATATATAAATGGTTTAGTCAGGAAAAAGACATTTTTAGTCTTTTAAAATTGTTGCCATATGTTATTTCGGTCATTTGGTTTGAGAAACTTTTTGACATTATTTTCGAGAAAAAAAAAATTTCTGACCGACAAGATGTTTTCAAAATTTTGAAACATTTCATTTTTTGTGGCATTTATAACTGAAAATATATTTTCTAATTAAAAAAACTTTGTTTTGACATTTCATAGTTTTTTAATTTCTCCCATCTCTTTTTTTTATATATAGTTTTTTTAAACTTTAAAATTAAAAAATCACATACTCTGCATATTAAAATACCATTCTATTTTTAAACTTCTCTTTATTAGCACCATGTATATTTCTTCTACCTCTTTTGTTTTGCTTTGATTTCTTTTATTGGTTTTAAAAAAATGACATTAATTTAATATTTTCATTATATATATAATTATTTTTTAACAAGAAATGTCATTTTAGATTATACCAAAATTTATTTTAAAGTTATAATTTGTGTTAATCACATGTTTAATATATTTTATTAGAATCTGTAAGAGAAAGTAATTTTAATTTCTAAATTTTTAATTAAGTAAATTTAATTTTTTCGTGTCGTAATTATACAATTTTATTCTCTCTAATTAAAAATCTAATAATTTTGTAGATACAAAGCTAACAAATCGCATGGTTGATATTTTTTATTTTTTAAAAAAACTATTGATATTTCTAATTAACTTTATTATAATATGTTTATCTTATCAATAAATATACTACTAATATTATCAATATTAATTTACCAATAATATTATATTACTACTACTAATATATATAAAATTTACTTATTTAATAATAAAAAATTATATCATTTAATACATTAATAAAAATTAACATGTATATATATATAACTGAAATAGGTCAATAATTATATAATTATATAATTTTTAATATATATATATATATATTAATTTTAAATAGGATAAAGTAGAATTGTACAATTAAAAATTTAAAGAACTAAAATTATTTGATTAAAATTTGTAATATTAAAATTATACATTTTCAATACTTAATAAATTAAAATTTATTTAATTAAAATTTTAAAAATTAAAATCACATAATCAATACTAGTAAACTCAAAAGCATAATTAATTTTAAAAATTATCAAAAGTCTTATGTAAACTATGAGATAAAAGTGACTAATAAAAATAGAAAAATCAAAAGATAATTAATAAAACATATTCCCCTTATAATTAGGTATAAATATAAATACAAATGCTCCTTAAAAAAATTATTGATATATATTGGGACTTGCGGGTGCAGAAGGCACGAATCTAGAGAAAAAAATGGTTTAACACATGCAAGAACAATGTTATCATAAAATAGTTTAAGATGATTTTTTTTATTATAATATAATTTATAAAATGCGAATGAAATATAATATAAAGTTGTAATTTTAATAAAAATTAAAGTTTTATTGAAAACTACAACAACTCACTCATCGATGTAATTTTTAATAAAAAAAATTACATATTGATTTGTTAATTTGTTTTTCAAGATTAACTATTAGCAGGACCAAAGAAACAGGTCAAACATGATACGGGTATTTCATCAAAAACGAAAAGAAAAAAAATGATACGTGTATAACAATAAAATAATATTACCTAAAATGAATAATTAGCAATTTTGCTATATTAAATTGCAAAAAAAATATTATAAACCATATTTAAAGTTGCGAAATAATTTCTTTCACTGTATATCATACGAGAATTTTCGAACCTTTATGAGACGGAATAATTGAAAGAGTATAATATATTTTTAATCCTTTTAAATTTTCTTAAGTTTGATTTTAGTTTTTTTAGATTTTTTTGTTTTATTTTAGTTTCTCTAATTTAAAATTTATCACTTTTAATTAACAAAATAGTTTAAATAATATTTTATAAATGTTTTTAAGTACTATTTAAAGTATTTAAAGACTAAAAATAATGTATTTTCAAATTTAAGAGACTAAAATAGGATGAATTTTAAAAAAAACTAAAAACAAATTTCAATAATTTTAGAAGAACAATTTTTTTTATCATAATTAAAATTACTGTATATAATTATTAAAAAAAATCGATTGAGAAAGATAATTTTTTAACATGTTTTAGAAAGTTTAATAATTTTTTATTATTATATTAAGACGTGACAATATTATATAAAAAACAGGGTCTTACCGTTTATATATATATATATATATATATATATATATTACTTTTTATAATTAATTATTATTTAAATATCAACAATGACATAAGAATAGATTGCCATTTACTTATTTCTTTTAAAAAAGGTAAAGAACGAATTTTTTGAGATACTTCAATTGCATTATAAATTTATAAGAAATAGTTTATTACATTTAGAGTTAATTTATCTACCAGATTTTAAATATTATAAATCCTTAATTAATCCTAAATATATTTTTAATAGTTATATAATTTTAATGAATTTTTTTTATTTCAACACAATTTATCTTATAATTACGTAACATATAAATACGTGGGAGATATAGAACAAATTTTTATATGATGAGAAGACGAGGACCTACTACTTACTCTTTTGGACCTCACTTTATTTCTAATAGATATTTATTTAATTATATATTTATAATTTATGTCAAATTTTTATCTGCAAATATTTACATGCACGGTTTTTTTGTCATCTCCAAAAAAAATGGAATAAAACAAACTATTTAATATAAACCTTTCTTCTTAAATATATGCACTATTTTTCCAAGCAAATTCATACTATTATTCTTATCTCCGTAAATATTAATTACTCCAACTGAATTATAAATAAATTTAATCAATTTATATTTTATTTTTATTTATTATCAAAGAGTATCTTTCACAAAACATATAGATTATTTTCTAGGGGTTTTAAAAAAATTGAGTTTTTGAAATGATATTGAAAAATAACACATACTTCTTTATTTTCTAAGTCCACGTCAACATCAAGTATGGTATTAAAATGAGTATAACTATTTTATCAAAAGTTTTTTTTTTTAGATAGATACTAAAACTGACTATTGGAAACCTAAAATCTCCAATAACATATAAATCAATCCTTATTTGATGCAGAAATTTTAGTTTTAAACAAAATATAAAAGAAACTTTTGAATAAGATTTGAAAAGTTTACAAACTAGATTTTTTTTTAATATTCATTCTTTTACATGTAAATTCACATTTATGTGTTATTCATACTTAATATACAAGTTAACTACATTATGACAATCTTTTATTATTATTATTAACATGATGTATTATTTTAATCTTCTTTATTAGATACTAGAGGGGTTGTGTCATTTCGTGCCTTTAATAATTATACATAGATAAAATATTAAAAAATTATGTGTAGTTATTTGAAAAAAATATATAATATTTTTTTTATGTTTAAGGAATATAATGATTTATTAAAAAGTAGAGACCAAAAATAGTTATATATCCAAGTATTCCTTTTATATATTAGTATAGATTAACATAATAATGATATTAAATTTTTTTGAGTAATTAACATAACTAATACTTAAAAGATACACATATATGTAGGGAA